GTCTTCGAGAAGATGACGGCCTAATGAATCAAGGAAATGTTTCCATCCGGATCCAGGAGTATTCGTGATTCCACCAGTGTTCGTTAAACGAAACCTGTGCATCTGAAAAAAATGAATATGAAATCCGATTGAACCCGATTCTGGACACCATTTGGGTCTTGCACACTTCTTGTTTGGCTGCTCGATCCAATCAATGCTGAATCCAACTTGTGAATACATTTGTATCTGTTTTTGTTATTTTGCAGTCGAGCGCTTTGAGGATTCAACCAAAAACAATAATGTGAAAAACATGAGCTGGTCACATATGCTGAAACTAACTTTGAATCAAACATTTAAGAAAAGTTTTAAGGTACAACTTTGTTACCGCATTTTTTATATCAAATTGTACAACCTAATAATCATGATTGCCATTTTCATCTCTACCATCAACATATCCATCATCATCATCTTCATTATCATCATCGTGCATTTAATGGAAGAAATCAAATTGCATCCATTTTTTTAACAAAATTATACAATTGTAAATAAATGAAAAACAAATTTTTGTCTATGAAAAATAGATGAAAAAACTTTTATCTTTTACTCAATTAATGAGATCAATAAAAGTGAAATTATGCTTGATTTGTTGTGAGAAAGGACAATTATTAATATTTGTAATGAAATTAACTATAACTGTCTAAATCGACAATTTTTGATGTCTTATTTAGTGGTGGAAACGCTAGAGTCACATCTTTCACTTGTTTCAGGTCGAGCCACCCAAGTTAATATCCATTTCAGATTTGTAAGCATATATTTCAATGCTTTGGTCCATTCCTCCTCCGAATTATATTGGATTCTGTAAGGCAACAGAAAGAAAGGAAAGTAAATTTGTTAAAAAAATATGTCAATTGGAAGGGAGGATTTAAGTAGGTAATTTGGAGGAATTAAGATTTCACTAAAAGGTAAGGTAAGCTTGAAAAGTGAGAAACTGGGTAAACTTTTTAACAAGTAACAAAAAAAGATAAGTTAAGATTCCCATGTAAGTCTATGGAAGAGGAAATAGCCTAAAGGTTTGTTCGTAACGTGGGTCAATCACGAGGTCTACTAATAAAAGGGCGTCTTTATGTGTTCTCTTAGTGTTTATACCTTCGTCGATGGTAAATACAGGGTAAATGTGTTTACTAGGAACGTAAAGCAGCAAAATGAAAGTTACGGGTGGTAACTTCATCTCAATTAGAAGTAAGCTTAAAAAAAGTAAATTCAACAACACCATAAAAGAGTTCAGCCAAATTTATAGTCGTTTTATTTTCTCGTATTAATTTCTTGACTTCAATAAAGGATAGATGGATAGTAGATAGAGATGAGAGTAAAATATCATCTTCACCACCACCATCATCATCTTTTAAATCTCAAAATAGTTTGGTTTCCATCTTTTCTTGTTCTCGGTAAATATCTTTACACTTTCATCTTCGTCTCAATCTTCACACGAATCATCTCAATTTACTCAAATTGCTCAACTTTTAACATGATAATAATTTTGTACAGATAAATGAGAATAAAGTTTTAGTATTATAACTCAATTATTTTGAATTTAATCTTGACAAGTTTATCGAGTGAGTTGAAATATTGATTGCACTAATTTTTCAAGTCGTAATTTAAGCAATAAAATAAAATTTGAGATAAATTTTCCATAGATTCGTTAGCTATTGAATTACTTGATAAAACAACAAAGACATACAAAAAGGTAACGCTTTCTCACTAGCGAGTTTCCTGTCAATTAATGACCAACTGGGTTTACCTAATGAAACTGCCTTTCCAAATATCTCTTCAACAATGAAACCCAGAAAGTGCACAAAGAGACAACACGGGTAACCGAAATTAACACAGTTTAAGGTTAAATGTCTACAAATAACTTCTTCATGAACCTGATAAGAAACTGAAATAAATTAAAGCAAGAGATGAAATACAAGAGAGAGAACCACCAACGTGGTGTGCCTTTCACTCTCGATTTAGTCCAATTTTACGCTCTGATGGATCCATTCACTAAAAGTATGCATATTCTTACTCTTTTTTCTTGTTTCTTTTCTCTTCTTCTTCACTTTCTTTTTCATTACCAACTTAAGCCTCTGGTTAAATATTAAATTTTTGTGGTTCAGATGAACACGACTAACCAAGGTAAATGGTAATAATCATATTATTAAGGGCTAAGGTAAGCCCCGATGTCTGGATGTGAAGAATTGATGTTTTTGGCTCATTTCCAGAATTATTTTTCAGCAGATAATGTGCAGGTTTGCTATCTATCAGGTTGTCGAAATCAAACTATTCCGGGCTATTTGGTAGGGCGCGAATTCAAAATTGAAAAGAACTTTTGTCTGGGGAAAAGCAAAAAACTGATGATTTTACTACCGACTATCGTTTTCTTCAAGTTGATCAGAATAGGATCGCAGCGTTATTCAATAACAATTGTTTTCACTTTGCTTTGACAGTTAATCAATTCAAGTTAGTTAATCATAATCAAAAAAGTAACACTGACAAGTTTGATCAACTTTATTGAATTTCATTCGCAAAGATGTCAATAAAATGTTGATAAGCTGCAAGTAATTCCTTCAGTCCAGATTATCGTAATTTTGCTGAAAGTTTACATCTTTAGTGATCTTAATTAACAAACAATACTTACTGGAAAAGCTTTTAATGAAAACTTGGTTTCTTCCTCATTTCCTTTCTCATCCAACCTAAAAGGATTAACTTGTAGGTCTAAATTATCATCATTCACTGGGAGGTAAAGACTACCTAAAGAAGAGGATAAATTGACGAAAGGTGAAACATATGTACCTGAAGCAGAAATTGTTGGACTCATTGTGATTACATGAATTTTGATTCTCAAATGAATTTAGTCAATGATTATGATAATTTAAGTGAACACCAATAGGTGACTCTAGTTAGCTGGGCAATATGAGAGGTATGACTGTAATCAAAAAGTAAACAGTTTTAATATGATTTACCTTACATGTTGAATATGTGTTAAATATTCACACAAACGTTAGGAAATTAACGTTAGTTGTCCAGTATTTTATTATTTAAATCAAGTTACTAATTGCATTATAAATTATGGATAATACTTCGCAGTGGATTTTTATAAATTGAATGCCGAATGAATTAGGTAAATTGTTACATATGTACTATTAGTTTCAATGCAAGTTATTCGCAAAAAGAGTGGAGTGAGTTTGCGTTAGAAAGAGAGAAAAAGAGAGAGAAAGTTCACTCACTTTCCATCGTCATCTTATTCTCAATCTCTTTTACCGTTTTTCAATCATCTTCATGTAATCAGCATCATCCTTTATTAATAATAATCAACCTTTGATAACTTTATATTTTTCACTGGCTTACGATGTTTCCCATTTCACCAGTTTAAGGTTCACTTTTCCCTCTCCTTTTACTTCCTGGTGTTTTTTTGTGACTTCATCTTTCGGACATTTCCTTTCAAATTGGCTCCATTTGTGTCTAATGTGTACTTTAAGTGCCTTTAAGCTTTATGGCTTTAAAGTTTGTGTTGCTTTTGCCTAGTGTGAATGTGATTCCCAAGTGACCAATGGAACTGATACAGTTATTCGTAAAAATTCTTTGTCTAATCTCAATCATCGAATGTCGTACGAGTGAATCATTTTGGGGGTAAGTCCACATTTGTAAATGATACAGTTATGATTGATGAGTTTCCATCTTCTTCCATTGCGATACATTGGATTCCATTTATTGACCAATCCATCGATGAACCAACAGATATTGAGTAAATCATGGTACATGGAGAGAAAAAGAAAGAAAAAAAGAAGGAAAATGAAAACATTTAATGTTACAATAGTATTTATCTCACTTTTAACGATTAGCTGTGAATGTATGAAGAATTAACTATCACTCAAAAGCATGTATATTTCAGTCAAATAATCGTTGATTAAGCAACAGGCGACAAAACTGTGTCACTTTTTCCGAGTTACAAGCCGATCGATAGGAATGAAAATTTCCAAAATTTCCTTTGGGCTCCTGCTAACAGGTAAAAATTTAGAGATTTTCATTCCTACCGATCGGCTCGTAACTCGGAAAAAGTTTTAGGTTAAGTTTAAGGTATCATATGTAACCCTGTATTGATTCCGATAATTAAGAAAAATTATTTCTTTATATTTCCTAAGAATTGAATCAATCAAAACTAAATGTTTTTCATTGATTAATATTGTCCGTTTCTTTTGACTAATCAACAATTTTTGAGCTCTAAGTTTAAGCTGAGCAAGAAATACCTTGGCGATACAGGACCGTTTCGTTACTTCATTTTTATGATGTTTCTTGTAACAAAAAGTTATTTGCTCAGAGAATATGACAATACATGTACAATATGTTTACATGTGTAATGTATTTTTGAAGGAAAGGAAAAGGGTAATCACTGATCGCCTTTTGTAAGGGAACATTGAGCTTCTCATGTCTACTTAACGCTTATTTCCAATGTACCGTGGACAATATTTCTTTTCGGGAAAAGATCGCTCAAATGAATTGCTATTATGACCACAGTCATGTTCAAAGATCATCCAATAGTTGTAATCCTTGCAGGTAATGATTGAAGAAGAAAACATGAATTAGGTAAGAAGAAAAGGTAAGAAAGACTAAGACAAAGAGAGTGTTACCTGTGGGTGAAGACACATTCTCTGTGGATCGACTTGTGAGATGAACATTTTTAGTAAGCTGGATACAGATGATAGTTTAAGATGATGGAGAAAGAAGATGAAGAGGTAAAACTGTTTTACTTTCTCGCTCTTTCTCCACCTTCCCATGTGCATAAACTTGATGAGATATTTACCTGGCACTAAGACCTTAATTAAGATGTCTTCTACTCTTCTGTGGGTCAACACACTAGGCATAAAACTGTGTGTTCAACCGCCTTATTATTGTAAAAGTCACACCATTAGCTGTTTTGTTGTCTTCAAACAAATATCTTGACTTATTAGTCATGATTTACCTTTAATCTAAATTCATTTTCAATTTTTGACTTTTTTCACTTTTTCTCGTTTCATCTTCCAACATCACCAATAATGTTTCTGACTAACATTCAACACTTTGTTCACTCATAGTTCATCATCATGAACTTAATGATTAATAATTAGTTTTGACCTGATAAGTCATTTCAGTGTTAAATATGAAAAACCCTTATTTTTACCTTTTCCCATACATTTCTCCATATGTAGCTACTGAAAAAGGAACCTTTGATATTCCTTGATATTTTTACATATCATTAGCTTCCTTTCGTTGAGACAAATCTGTTGGTAACATTCGTTTACCTGTACGACTCATAGTTCATGAGAAAACCTCAGTTTCTCCATGAACTATGAACCCTCAAAAGTCCTAGGGAAAGTGTCCACTGTACCTCAACCATTCAACCTAATAACTTGATCTTTTCTTTAATCATTTACTATTGCCCTACTCTAACTAACTACAACACCTAATTTCACCCCTTAAACCTAGAAGCTATTTTGACCCTTCAACTTGACCATTTTTACCTGCTTAAGCTATTTTCAACCTCTTGCTACAGTCACCCTTCCGAAACTGCACCATTCTGAAACTGCACTTATTTTTTTCAATGGTCCCTATTAAGGAGGAGTTAGATCTACTTTCGCATTTCGTCGATTTTTGATTCAATTTTTTTAATTACCCAATTGACTTAATTCAATTTTCTTTCGTGAAATATCAATCCAAAACTTCGCGAAATCAGCTTAAAGCAACATTTTAGGTTAAATTTGGTCTATTAAGGAAGATTGAAAATCGTGAAATATGTTGCCCGACCAATAGTGTAAATAAGCTATTTCCCGAGAAGTGCAGTTTCAGAAGGGTGACTGTACCAACAAACACAAATCCCTAGAGGAACTCACATTCCTTGGTTTTCTTCAACTCGTCCATCTTAACCGTCAAACAAACTCTTACTCACCGAGGACTCAAAAGGGCTGTCTTACCTGCCCTACTATAAATACCTAAAATGACACCTTAACACTTATGGTGTATCTTTGTCTTGTATTCAGACTGTTTTGAACTTAACTAGTTTTTGTATCTTTTTGTATTGTCCTCTTGGTGTCAATTCACTAAATTTGAATCTGTCAATTGCTTCTTCATTATCTTTAACAATTTTGAATAAACTTGTTTGAATTGAATATTTTGACTTCATGTCTGTTTGGTCTGAATATTGACCGTGTGTTTTGTATTATTTGATTCATCTTTAACCTTATTGAATTCACCATCATAACCAACAATATTAATCTAGACTTCTATTCTATCAATATATTTTAGAGAAAAAAGAATAAAAATGATTTTTCAGGAATATTTCGAGACTATTTAATGCCCAGAGAAAGTCAATGTGTATTCTTGATAAAGATTCATTCTAGATTTTTACTCTTTTTCATATCGCATATTTTAAGTGAAGAGAATAGAAATTATTTTGTAGGAATATCTTGAGACTATTTTATTTGATTGAAAGGATAGATTGATATGTTTCTCTGTTAATCTTCATGGTTATGAATGACTCTTGGTTTCTTTACTTTTCAAAAAAAGTATTAATAAAAACTATTAATGATAACCAAACATTTATTGAGATGTAAAGTTTCGGAATGTTTACCAGAGAAAATGTAAGAGCAAAATATTAAATGCATGTTGAAGATTATGGCCAAATCATTACGATTAAAATTATAAGTAAAAATACAAACAAATTTTTTAGTAAAAATGTATGTGAAATACGATTACGCACCAACATTATCAAATCAATTTTGAATTGTACAGTAAGCATTTGAATCCAATCAATAAATCATTGTTTATTTTATAGGGATAATCATTTTATTTAGATTGAATCTCAAGGTGCTTTCTTGTTTTTGATTGCTGTTTAATGTGTCTAAAAGTTTTTGTTTACGTTATTCCTCTTCAACTTGTCTGTGAATCTTAATTGATGTTGATTTAACTTTGATTAGCCTTTCTTGTTATAACAGGTTAAACGATTTAGGCTACAAGAATTAATGATTATGTAGCTATTGTGAAATTTGATTATTGAGGTGAAAGAGGCAAATGATGAAAGTAAATGTACTACATTATTGTTGTTGACAAGGCGGTCAGACAATAGCTAGATTGTTACATAAATAGTGGATATTTATAGGCCATATATAGCGTTGAAAGCTGCCAAAGTTAAAAATCACAGATTAAATATTCGAAAATAGGGCATTTTTAATATTCATATGGGAATGGTCAGGCCTCAATTTGCCCTGAGAAAAGCAAAAAGTTAAACACTAGTTGGTTAGTTAGAGATATAAATTGATAAAAAAGCAAATAACTTACAAATGAAATACTAAATGATTGATGCATGATCTGATTCAATTTCTCAATAAATACTTCAATTGTAAAGGGAAGTGTAAGAGATTGACCTTAACATTGTTACTAGAATGTATCGCAAAGGTATGGAAAGAGAGAAGAAGGAAACTCATCGTCATTTTTACACTTATCTTGTACATTGTTATTGGTTTACTTGGATCCTCACCCTTCATCTTTGTCTTCTTTTCTTTGCCTTTTTCTTGTATATTTACACGGCAGTACGGGAATGAAACTTGTTTTAGATCCGAATAAAATCTGCCGTAAAGCAGGTCGATTGAAAAGTAAACAAACAAGTATTTGTGAAAAAGGACCGGAGATCGTTCGGGAAATACCCAAAGGTGCTAAAATTGCCCGTAAAGAGTGTGAATTTCAGTTCCGTAATCGTCAATGGAATTGTCCATCAACGCGAAAGTCGATGAGGAAGATCCTTTTGAAAGGTAAACGTCTAAAGATGTCTGTTTGCTTTGCCCACTTCTGGCAATAGTTTAAGTTTTAATTTGATATGGAAGAAGAAACAAATACATTAATTGATTGGATTGTAAAATTGAGTGATTTAAAAGAAAGAAGACACGCGAATAGAGTGAAGACAGAGAGGTAAGAAGGGAGATAAAATATCACTAAAACTGTGAATGTTGATTACTGTACTCTCCTCAGATACTCGGGAGACTGGTTTCGTTCATGCTATCACAGCAGCTGGAATGACACATAGCTTGGCTAAAGCGTGTAGCCAAGGAACTCTTATCGATTGTTCTTGCCTTATGATGTCCTCTCCTCAATCAGATAATTCATTCACTCAAGATTTTGATTTCCGTGGTTGTGGTGATAATGTTGATTTTGGGTATAAAAAGTCTAAAGAATTTTTGGAAAGTAGATTGAAAAAGGGCCATGATGTCCAAACGCTGGTCTTAAGGCACAATTATGAAGCAGGACGATTGGTAAGTCAATTTATCTAGTCAGCAAACATTGCTTGCTGATGATGATTTTCATATTATAAAATACAATTAAAAAAATTATCCATATCCATCATTATACAATCCATATCCGATAAATGAAATTTATGTTTTCAATCTAATTGAAATATCTCGATTCTATCGAGGTAATCATGCCTCTTTAATGATAATTCTTTTTTTACTTGTCCAATTCAGGCAGTTAAAAGAAACATGGATAAGGTATGTAAATGCCACGGAATGTCGAGATCTTGTACAATTCAAACGTGTTGGTTGAAGTCACCACCTTTCCGTGAAGTTGGAGCCATTTTAAAAGACAAATTTGATGGTGCTATAAAAGTGATTGCCACCAATGATGGCCGCAGTTTTACTCCTGAAATCAGCTCAATCAAATCACCAAGTTTAGAGGATTTGGTTTACTTAGAGGAATCGCCCAACTTCTGCCAAGCTGATAGATCAACTGGTTCTTTAGGCACTCAAGGACGTGAATGCAATATTACATAAAAGGGTATTGACGGCTGTGATCTGCTTTGTTGTGGTCATGGAGCGAAAAAAGTGCATATACCCGTCAAAAAGAGCTGTAATTGTAGATTCAATTGGTGCTGTGAAGTAACTTGCAATGTATGCACACAAAAAGTGACGATATATACATGCAAATGAAAGTGATACACCGTCAAAACATGTGAACTTTTTCCTCCTTTTTTCTTTCATTTTTTCCTGTCAATCAAACAGCAAAAACTGTCCCAGTTTTGTTTGAAACCAAACAAATGCAACAATCTCTACTTTGCTCTCGGTCAGATGCTCAGTTCATGCAGGAATCTAAACTGATTTGAAAACTCATAAGCCTGTTGAAAAATATGACTGACATCGAGTAATCGACGAAGTAAAATGAACCGCCAACTCCATTTTCCTCCTTTTTCCTCTGATTTTCATTCAGCATAAATTTTCATTATTGAATCCGCCGATTCGTCACTAAACACATTAAGGATTCATTGTCGTCTTGAAGATGACGGCCTTCTGAATCAAGGAATAATAAGGATTAAACCAACCGGATGCAGGAGTCAATGTATTCGTGATTTCACTAATGCATCTGAATGAAAAACATGAATATAAAATTAGACACTTGACTCGATCCAGTACACCATATGGTTTATCCACTTCTTGTTTGGTTGCTCAATCTTAATTTTCTCAATAACTTCGAATGAAATATTTAAGAAAAGTTTTAAGGTAAAACTTTGTTACCGCATTTTTTATTTCAAATTGTACAACCTAATAATCATGATTGCCATTTTCATCTTTACCATCAACAAATCCATCATCATCATCTTCATTATAATCATCGTGCATTTAATGGAAGAAATCCAATTTCATCCATTTTTAAACAAAATTATAAATGCATGTGAAACAAATTTTTGTCCATGAAAAATAGATGAAAATACGTTTATCTCGCACTCAATCAATGAGATCAATAAAAATAAAATTATGCTTGAACTTCAAGTATTTCAAAAAATTATCGGTCTGTTGTAAGGAAGGACAATTATTTGTAATGAAATTACCTTTCACTATCTAAACCGATAATTTAATGATCAGATTCAATACAACTCATTTAAAGTATACAAAGTCAATGATTTGTTATTAAAAAATTGAAAAACATCATCAATTTGTTATATAATGACCATATTAAACGGCAATCTAATTAACTAATTTATTAATTGCAACATTAGTGTAGCGTTTATTGATATTGGTTGGTAAAAAAAGGAATTCGAATAAAGCGTTTATCATGAGTAATCAGTGCTATTAACACTCATTAGGTCTATGGACACAAGAATTTTGAAGTAATTATGGCTAATGGATCGCAAATCGATTATTAATTGTTTTTAATTGCTGTCCTCATAATTTTTTCGCACGCAAAACTAGCTCATCCTTTTACATAATTTATTTTTTACACAATTTCTTAAAATACGCAATTTTACATTGGCTTTTCATTGATATTAAGCATAACTCAATCAAACATTTCACTGAAAAATTATTCAAACATTTTTGTGGAATTTTTCTATCAAACCGACTGAATTTGAACTTTTTTACCTCATTTAATAGCTGCATAATTGGAGATCTCATATGTTAAATGAAATGCAATAAAAACTAATAAGCTCAAATAATCAGTAGTTTGGTTAATCAAAGCTCGAAAGCAATACCTGAAACATATTGCAGAAATTGTTGGGCTTATTTTGATTTAGTCAATGATTATGGTAATTTTGAAGAAACTTGTTCGTAAATGAATAATTTCTGTCCTTTGATATTACAGTCACCTACCAGATACTGCACCACTCGCAAAAGCTTATTTACACTATTCGTCGATTAGTTTAATTCATGATTTTCAATGTTCCTTAATAGATCAATTGATTTTCGGAGTTTTTTGTTTGAAATTTCACGAAAGAAAATTGGATTAAGCCAATCGATAATTAAAGAAATCGAATCGAAATTCGACTGAATTCTCAAGTAAATATAGCTCCCCCATAATAGGGACCATTGAAAAATTTATGTGCATTATCTGGTAGGTCACTGTACCTTCATCTGAGAAACTGAATGATTGATGCTTTCAATGAATCAACGATAATTTCAAGTATACACCAGTAGGTGACACCAGTAGTAACTGTGCAATATGAAAGGTATGACTGGAATCAAAAAGAAAGTTTTAATCTAGTTAAGTTTTCACCTAGCATGTTGAATATGTGTTAAATATCCACACAAACTTTAGTAAATCAGTTGTCCAGTATTTTATTATTTTAATGGAATAATAAGTTGAATCAAGTTACTAATTACTTTATAAATTATGCATAATAATTCGGAGTTGATTTTTATAAATTGAATGCCGAATGAATCGTTTTCTTCAAGTTGATCAGAAGAAGAGCGCATTGTTATTCAATATCAATTG